ATAATACTGATGTTAAACTATGAAAATGTATAAAAATGAAAAGGATAGATGAACTTTATCAATATTGATGTGAAAACCCTAAGTAAAATATTACAAACAGAATCTAGCATAAATCTAAAAAATCATACATCAGGATCAAGTTGGGGTTATTCCAGACAACCTTTTCAAATTCATAATATTTATAATTTTAGTGGGTATTTCCTAGAAATAACAAGCTCTACTGAGCAAATTAGCAGAACAAAACCCCACCAGTGTCTACTTTTTCTGGGTGAGGACATATAGGTGCCATAAAACATAGTATCATGGATTGACCACCTCTGTCCTCCAAAAGTACGTGTCAGCTTGGCCGGACCATGATTCTTAGTGGCTTGGCAGTTTTTAATGATTTAACTTGGCATTATGTGATGATGTCATCATCCCCTATGATGTGATTAGCCAAGCAGTTGTAAGGAGATTAGAGTAGGATGCAGGTCTCATCCCTGATTCAATGTAAGAGAAGTTCTCTGGGGTGTGGCCTGTGTCACCTTTGATCTTACAGGAGATAAAAGGGAAAAGAAGCAAACAGAAAGAGGGACCTGACTACCACCAACAAAGAGGAGCTGGTGCTCTTTGGACCTAGAGTCCCTGCGCTGAGAACCTCTTAGACCCAAGGAACGATTGATGCCAAGACACATGGAGATCTCCAAGGAATGCCAGGGCTCCAGATGTTGAAGGAAGATGAGGACCTTCCTGCTGAGCTGACAGAGAGAGAAAGCCTTCCTCTAGACCTGGCACCCTGATTCAGATGTCTAGTCTCCTAAACTGACTAAATTTGTGTTAGTTGAAGCCGTCCGCTTGTGTTATTTCTGTTATAGCAGCACTGGGTAACGAAGACAGATTCCAAACTTGGAAATGCCGGGGGAGGAATGGCTGCATGGATTCAATTACATGAATCCTAATGTTCCTTATTTTCTGTGTTTTTCTTTTCCCAGCCCCTCCTGCAAATCATCGAGATATGGCGCATAGAAATAGAAGCAAAAGCCGAGAGAGAGTTTTTCAGGACCGGAGGGAATTTTGTCTATCTGCTCAGGCCTCTTCCCAGAGGTCCGGCCCACCCAGTCCTGATGTGATCAGCAGCAGGTCCCCAGTGGACGACGTGTTTGTGGAGGAGCTCACCCACAAGTTCATGCTTTTTGAGGGTCAGGGTGGCTCTCTGCTCTCCTCAGTCTCATCCAGGGCCACTAATCTTGCAGGGACAGGCCAAATAGGGGCACAGGACTGGATTTCAGAGAAGGACAGTCAAGAGTGTGTCTTTTATGGGAATCAAGGCAACATTCGTCCTGTTTCTGATTCAATGCCAGCCTCAGGCAAGAAAGATCCCAAGGCCTGGGTAAACGGCCAAGACACCGGGAATGAGAGTTTGTTACCTCCAAGTCCATCTGCCACCTGCTCCCCAAAAGGCACAGGCCTGGTTTCCCTGGATTGTGTGGACATCAAGGATGAAAATGGAAACCACAGTGTCCAGAACTTCCCTCTTTTTAATAATACAGTTGATAGAATGGCCATAGATGTATCTTCCACAAGATCTACAAGTTATAAGACCACAGCCAGCAGACAGAGAGAAAAATCATTATCTAGGGACCAGGACACTGGAACCACTCGTGGGAATCAACAAGCCACTGGGGAAATTGCAAAAGATGATACGGGCATGGTATTTACGAATACTTATTCAAAGACATGTTCTTCTACCCGATACATTCCAAATTCACGGAATGGCTATGTAAAAGTGATGAACAAAACTACAAAACTACAAAACAAAGATGGAAATAAAACTGGTGCCGTTGGCTTTGACTTAAGAGAGGATAAAAAGGCCTTTCCCTCTGGAAGTCAGAGCCTGCTACCCCAGGGCCTTCCCACGCCTGGGGATACCTCGGCCTCTGTACAAGCCTGCAGCTCAGCAACAGACTCACCTTCCTCAAGCAACAGAGCTGCAGCCTACGGGATCAGCGGTCACAACTCTGCCCACACCTCTGTGACCACTGCCAGTGCACTTCCAACAAGGAGGACCCAGGACTCGGCCCTATGTAAGTCCTTGTAGGAAATGGGGCTGCCATGGCTTGTGCCAACAGCAGGGTGGCTGTGGCTGGATGGTGCCCCTTGAGTGCTCACCAGCTTAGAGTTAGAGGGTTTTGGTTGAGGGCTGGTACTGTTGAAGAGATGGACACGTGACCACCCAGGAGAAGCAGAGGAATCAGCAGCTATTTATATTGAAAAGAGCAGTAGTTGGGTGATGGTTTAAGAAGTAAACATAACTCTTACGTGTTTCCTTTTATAGAGAGGCTGTCTAGACCTCCATGAGGGACTTTCTTGAACATGGTCCTAGCTTCAGATAGTCTATGCCATTGTGAGGCCAGGTATCTTGGTTTTTGTTGTAAACACTGATACCAACATACAGACATCCTTTTGTGTTTTGTAGATTCCATTTCCAATGTTGCCTGGAGCACATCTTCCAAGATCGATGATGGCTCAGAAGAAATTTGTCTTGACCACCTGTATAAGGGCTGTCCACCAACTAGTGAGTACCCTAGGCAGAAACTTAATTACTAATAGTGGGGCCAACATTTGCTAAGCATTTAGTATCAGCCAGCTGCAACG